AAGTAGGTTGAAAAGAAGTGAAATAGTCACTTGTTTGGGATAAAAAGCGAATGCACCTGGGCAGGTGCAAAGTGCAGGAAAAAAAGTTTGAATTTTGAATGAATAGATCTATGGTTCGTTCTGTGGGAGGATTTTACTTTTACTGGAAATAAATAGAATGTTTTTTTTCAAAATTATTAATTTATTAAAGTAAAATAAAAAAATTCTCTGAAAAGGCAGAACTCAGATATTAGAAAAATATTTTAATCGTTATTCCCTTGTTATAAATATATATATATATATTTTAGTCAGTATTTCATTATTTTAAAATAGCATTTGTGATACAAATTTTGTTGTGAAAAATCGTATAATATATTTTACTTTGACAAACTTTGTTGAAGCAAAATACTAAAAAATATGAAAATTAAAAATAAAATGAATTAGAAAAATCAGGCATTTAGACGAACAAAATCATGTTGCACATTGTTTATCACAAACTGCAAAAAATTTTGTTTGATAAAAAATCGTATAATATATTTTGCATTGACAAGTTTTTGTTAAGCAATTAGATTAAACAAATATGAAAATAAAAATTAAATGAATTAGTAAAAGCCGTCAAATTAGTAATAGCCACAAATATGAAAAGGCATTTGACGAACAATATCATGTTTACCATTGTAATAAACAAATAGGAAAATTAAAAATAAATGCACAATTATGAAAATTAAAAATTAAATGAATTAGTATTAGCCGTCAAGCATTTAGAAGAACAATATCATGTTTACACATAATAAACAAATTTGAAAATTAAAAATAAAATAAATTAGTAATAACCATCAGATATTTAGACGAACAATATTACGTTTACACATTATAATAAACAAATATGAAAATTAAAAATAAATGCAAAATATGAAAATTAAAAATAAAATGAATTAGTAATAGCCATCAGACATTTAGACGTCAGCTAATTTAATGTTCAACATCTATTGAACTTCGTAGAAAGTTGGTGTTAAAATGAAAAATCTCGTTTCATTTAGAATGACGTTATACCATGTTTATCGCGGTTTTATAATGAAACAAATAAACATTTTTTAAAAAGCTTTTATATGTTTATATTGGGCTGCTTTAAAAAAAAAAGATTAAAGAAAAAAGGAACTGGGGTCTAAATAATAAAATTTTATAATGTCATTTTGTGAAATCTTATCTAACCTAATGATAGCAGGCTTTCCTTGCCGGTTATAATCTTTCTTTCTTTGTGGTTAAAGAAATATAAAAGTAAAAATGTTGCAATTTTCCCTCTAATAGCCTCTGTTATTTAGTTTCTTAGAATTTCCCACTAGTTTTTCAAACATTGGATTACATTAAAAAAAAAAAAAAAAATTTAAGATTTTTGAAGAATAATATATAGAGGAAGAAATTGTACGTAAAAATAAAGTGCACGTAAATAAAAATAGAACTATATAAAATAAATGTAACAAAAAAAAAATTAAAAAATTAACATTGGGCCTAAGTGAGATGCTGACATAGGCTTCAATACATGCACATAATTCACTTATGGGTTTCAAGAAGCTCAAACCCGTCAGCTACCGCCTGGCTGTTCACCAATATATATGGTGTATATATATATATACATTTAAAATATATATATATATATTATATATATATATATATATAATAAAAATAATCATTTTATATATCTTTATATATATATATATATACAATATATAAAGATAATTAAAGAAAAAGGAATTGGTGAATATTAAATATATATATTATAAAAAACATTTCTATGCTATTACTTTTTTCTTTTTCCCAGTTATTATTGCTAATTTCCTTCATGGTTTAAATTTTCCACAGATTCACTACATTGTGGTTGTTCTCTCTCACATTTCTTCCAAGAGGGAACGTGATGGCCGAGTGGGTAGCGCAGTGGTGCTCGGTACTACAGGTTTCGGGTTCGAATTCTGGCGGTGCTATGGATGTTTGTAGTGATTAAAGAATCCATTTTAAACCGTAGGTTCCAGTCTAATAGGATCGTAGAGCGTTGTGGAGGTGGCGTTACACGCGTCCGTAGCATATCTTCAAGCTACACTTGCCCTAATGATAGTGCTAAATGCTTTAACAGCGTAGCCTTGGCTTATTTGAAGATTAAATGTCTCTATTCAGTAACTGCTGCATTTTCCCTCAACATATTCGACTTTATTCCTAATTATTTTTAACATAATTATTTTCGATATCAATATACAGTGTTAATTTTGATTTCTTATTAGAGCTGTAATAGAAATAAAAGCTGAAAATGTCACAGAAAAACCTGAAATAACATAGTTGAAAAATATTTCCATATATGGTATATACCATTATATAAATCGATCCTGTACAAGTATGACTGACAAGCAATTTGTGGTGAGACCAGCGTAATAAGTTGGTGGTTAAATTTGAATTCATAATGTTGAATTCCTTATGCTATTATTTCTGAGACAAACAATACGTTTTGATTAACATACATCTTGTTTATTACAGTAAAAATGTTATTTGTTCACATTTCCATTCAAATTAAGAATTCCTTGAGATTAAAAATCTTTTCAGACCAATGAATACAAATGCTATTTATCCATCTTTCTATTGGTTTTTCCGTAAATACTAAAATCTGTATTCTAGTGTCTTGTCCAAATCCTGGCCAATCAGAAGTCTGAGTGAGAAGAGATACTTCCGAAGGTGTTTATAATGAGAGATATTAGCATATAATTGAAAAATAACTTAAAGTTTAAAAGCATCTGCTTTCTAAAGGAAAAATGCATTTTTTTGATTTCTAAATTCTTTTTCCATACAAGAAATTCTTTAAAAATCCTTGATTTGAAACCAAACCTTTATAGTTATATATCAGGTAGTACACACACATTTTTTTCAACAGTATTAGCTACATATTAAAAAAAGGACCTGATGGCTTTGACGAGCGCTTTGGCGCTAGGTGCCACAGGTTTCGGGTTCGAAAAAATAGTGCCATGAATGTTTGTAGAGGTTCGAAATCCATTTTTTAAGCTCGGCCTGATGTCCAACTGGCTAACTACATTCTTTATTTCTAATTACCACGGGCTTCAGGTTCGAATCCTGACGTGGCATGGATGTTTGTGAGTGATTCGGAATTAACGTTAAACAGTAACACTCCCTAGTCTAATTAGTTAAAAATACAAGACTTCGGTGGCCAGTTGTAAGGACAGCCGCGAAAAATAGGACAACTCATGTCAACTAGAAAACTAAAGTCTGTTAAAGAAGGATCAAGTTTCTGAAGAATTACGTGATCAAATCTGGTTTCTCACCAGGATATTTACTTTTTTTTTTTTTTTTTTTTTTTTATTTCCCCTATTCATTATTCGAGTGTTCGTGTTTTCCATCGCCAATTTTTTTTTTTTTTTCTTTTTCTTTTTCTTACATCACTAATTCAAACATCCAACGCCACCTCCAGGATTCGAATCTTTTCCTGAAGCCTGTGGGAACCAAAGGCCTGAGCTCTAGTCAATTGGCCATTAGACCACCTATATTTGAGGGATCACATTCCTTTTGGTATTTGGAATCACCAACGTTAGGACTTTCTGGGCTACATTTAACGTGTCCATTGCTGATAAAGAAATAAGACGTTTCAGTTTGGTTTTCTTATTAGAGTTTCGATGCGAGAGCTCTGTCATATAATAGAAGTTAACCGCTATCCACCAAGATGCTCAAGATCATCAACTTCTTCTTCATTGAAAAAACCCCATGATGGACCAAGGCCGTCTACCTAGTCATTCCGAAACATGAATGGCGTTTAAAAATCCTTGATTTGAACCATAGGTTTCATTCAGTCCCCGGTGTGCCATGGATGTTTGTAGATGTTCAGAATCCATTTAATCCTTCGGGTCCTTGTCTCGCTCTGGTGACCGTAGAGCGTCACGGAGCCCATTTTAGACTTCTCACCCACATTAGTCCCAAACTGTATAAGGGTCTAGAAACAATGATGTGGTGTGGTGTGGTGTGGTGTAGTAGTAGTCATATTGGGACCGGGACATTCGATTTAAGGAACTGAACCACTACAAAAATCCATGGCACCTCGGGAATCAATCCAAAACCTGTGGCACCGAGAGTCAGAGCGCTGGTCACTCGGCAATCAGGTCCCAGATCATCAACTGTGTGTAAAAAAAATTAAATTAAAGTTGTCTTTTCAATAAAACTTCAAACAGTAAAGGAAGTGAAATAAGACAAAAAAAAACCGTTCCCAAACCTAACACTCAATCAACAACAGTAATGCATATCCAAGAAAGTGCTTTTATATGACATAACATTTTATGTTAATGTTCGCTAGTTATCTGGGCATATATATAAGAAGAAAAACCTTTATACAGTTTCCAATCCTGATTCACCTTATCTTCAGAAATACATATTTCCCTTAACCTCAGCCAATGACTGCGACAGGGCTACGGTGGCCAGTCGTAAAGGACAGTCGGCAAAAATAGGACAACTCCTGTCAACTAGAAGGATCAAGTTTCTGCAGAATTACGTGACCAAATCGCGCTTTCTCACGAGGATATTTACTTTTTTTTCTTTTTTTTTTTCTGTTTTTTTTCCCTATTCATTATTCGGTGTTCGTATTTTCCAAGCGCTAGTCATTCGGCCATCCTCATGTTTGTATCCTGGCGATGGCAAAGATGAGCTCAAAGTGGTTCGGAATTCACGTTAAACTGTAGGTCTCGGTCTGTTGTTGTTGTTTCTTATTCCACTTGGCTGGCCAAGCCCCGAGCCCATACGTGCTCATGATTGAAGAAGGGAAGGAAGCAGCTTCTGTTGTGATGGAGCACTCCAGGATATTTACTAATCTGACTTTTTGGCTCCGTGACGCTCTTACAGTCGGTTGACCAGGACCTACGGCTTAAAGTGGATTCGAAGTCATAAACATCCATGGCCACCTCCAGGATTCTGAACCGAAACCTGTGGCAACGAGCGCCAGAGCGCTAGACACTCGGCCATTCAGGTCCAAATTTTCTTCAACGGCACGCGGTGTTCCCAGGTGGTCACCCACCCAAGTACTGACAGCGCCCAATGCTTGACTTCGGTGATCTAACGAGAATGTTATTCTTGGCATGTCCGTTGGCATATAGTGGTGGTCCCACAATTAGCCTAAAGTAAAAAATGACCAATGGGGCAACAAACCCAACCGGGACCACTATGGGCATCAGTCAGTCATTTTGAAACATAGCACGCTATCCACCAAGATGTTCCAGCTCAACAACTTCTTCTTCATTGACGCAACAGCCCCATGATTGAAGCCGTCTGCCTACCGGCAAATTCTGAAACATGGGTTGTTTTTCTTTTTTACGGGGTAGGGTTCAGTAATCCGTTTAAGCTTTATTTCCCGACTGGAACTACGGTTTAAAAAGATTCGAACCATTAAAACCCAAACCGAAACTTGTACCAAACCAGAGCTCTAGCCCATCAGGTCCCAGATCTTCAATATAAAAAAAAAAATTGAATTTTGAGGAATCTTTCACCATAAAATCAAAACCTTCAAACAGAAAAGAAATAAAAATAAAATGCCCCCTAAAATAAAACTGGTTCAACACTCAATCTCAACAGCAATATGTATCCTAGAAAGTGCTTTTTTTTTTTTATGACATAACTGAAGATTTTATGTTGATCTTCGCTAGTTATCTGGGCATATATATAAGAAGAAAAACCTTTTAAACAGTTTCCCAATCCTGATTCACCTTATCTCAGAAATATACATTTCCCTCACCTCAGCAAATGACTGCGATCTCTTTAAAAGGGCTAGCGGTGGTCCCGGTCTCATATGACCGACAGCGTCGGGCCCAAACTTCTGTCGTCCACATCATTCCCAAACTATAAAGAAGCAACTCAACTCTAGGCACAAGGATCAAGTTTGCAAATTAGCGTGGCCCAGATCGCGCTGGCACGAGTAGAGCAATAAATCAAACCACTCGGCCATCAGGTTTCTCTCATCATCAACTCTAAAAAAAAGTTAAATTCAAAAGGAATCTTTGAGCATAAAAATAAGCGCTGGCAACTGGCAACTGGCTTCGATGTTCGGTAGTACCAACTGGGGGAAATACTAAAATCCTCATCTAGTGGTTAATAGATATGCTTTAAATTTTAATTGGCTGCTTAATTAGGTTAGTATAGATAATAAGATAAAATTTCTAAAAAATTCAAAAATGGCACTCAAAAAAAAAAAAGATAAAAATACTAATAATAAATAAAGTCCAAAAATACAATTAAGTGAAATTGAGTTAAATTTAAATTCATGTAGCCAAAGGTCTGCCTATTTGTCAGATGCCAAAATAATAAAAGTAAACAGAGTATTTTTGAACTCGTTGAACCAAGTAAATAAGGGTTATGCTGAAAACCGGGAACTGTGAGCTTTAAAATAGATTCCACACCAAAAAAGGCCCAATCAGGACCGTATTTTTATAATTTTTCATTTTATAATTTTTTTTTTTATTTTATTTGGTTTTTATTCCATCTTTTTATTTTCTATAAAAAAAAAAGGAATTAAAAAGGAATCTTTCACCATAAAATCAAAACCTTCACAAAGCAGAAAAAAAGAAAGAATTAAGGTGCCATCAAAGCAAAAAAAAATATAAAACTCAATCATCAACAGTGCCGGTTTGAACCAGAAAGTGCTTTTTTTTATGACATAACTGCGAAGATTCGTTTTGTTTACAAAGTTAGAGGGCATTTATAAAAGCCAAACGACTCCTCAGATAAACAGTGAGTTAACCAGTCTCAGTGGACGTAATTCCAGTGTTAAATTCCACTCACCTTAACAAATGACGGTATCTCTTTAAAACCGATGTCTCTTAACTCCGGTCAATCATAGGACCGTCGTCAAGCAGCCCTTGGCGTTTAGAACTTTTTTCCCCAGGGTCCACATCATTCCCAAACGACGGATTAACTCATTGCTAATCCAGGCATTTTTCAAGAAAATTCTTTGAAATTTTTGATTAAATAATTTGGAATAGGTTCGACGTAGATCTCTATGGATGATCTTTCGACGAACGAACCATGGCCATCAGCAATCATAGCCAGGTGTTTATTCTGAAATCAACTCTGATAAGGGAAGTGGAGGCCCAAAGCTAAAAAAAGAATAGGTCTAATGATAGACATAAAAATAAAACAACCTTCAAACAACAAAGAAAATAAAATGTAAAAAAAAAAAAATAAAACCAGTCCTAAAAAAAAAACTATTTTTAATACTCAATCATCAACAGCAATGCATATCCAAGAAAGTGCTTCTTTTATGACGTAACTGAAGTTATCTGGATATATATATATATATGTTAAAAAAAACCTTTTAAACAGTTTCCCAATCCTGATTCACCTAATCTCCAGAAAAATATATCTCCCCTCACCTCAGCCAATGACGGTCTCTCTAAAACCCAAGACACAAGGGCTAGGATGGTCTGTTGTAGAGGACAGTCGGCAAAAATAGGACAACTCATGTCAACTAGAAGTCTGTTAGAGAGAAGGATCAAGTTTCTGCAGAATTACGTGACCAAATCGCGGTTTCTCACGAGGATATTTACTTTTTCTTTCCTTTTTTTTTTTTCTGTTTTATTTCCCTATTCATTATTCGGTGTTCGTGTTTTCCATCGCCAATTTTTCTTTTTTTTTCTTTCTCTCGCATCAGACCTCGACGCGGGTTTTCTTTTTTCTTTTTTTTTCTCGTGCATTTGCCTTGCATTTTTTATCACGACTTACCTGGCGACATCCGACTTGACCTCTCTTTTTTTGTTTTCTTATTGGACATTTTTTTTTTTTTTTGTTTTCATTTTTTTTATTTTTGTTTTCATTCAATGGATGAGTGGAGAAAATGGAGATGAGGCATTGAATTTTAACGTCTTTTTTTTCTTTTTCGAGGTATTAAAATCTTGAGATAATTTTCCAGAGAGATATTGATCTAATGCAACGATTCCATTTAAGAAGCAGTTTAAAATCATAAAAATGTTTATCTTTGTTGTTTTTTATTTTATAAATTACCTTAAGTTATTTATGAAGTAGTTGGTTGTTATCTGTAAAACAGATATGGGAATTTCAGGTTTTCTTTAATGATTTAAAATCATAATAATGGTAAAATCATTTCGAGAGAAAAAGATTTTCTTTGTCATTCTATTTTGAGAGTAATCAGAAGCATATTTTAATTAATTATTAAATTAATTTAATTTAATTAATTTTTAATGATAAAATTTGCAATTTTTGACTTGAGAATCATGAGCTACCTGATGGCCAATTGGCTAGCGCTCTGGCTTTTGGTACCACAGACTTCAGGTTCGAATCCTGTTGGTGGTATGTATGTTTCGGAATCCCCGCTAAACTGTAGGTCTGGTCTAATTAACCTAAAGTGTGCACAAATTGACCGTAAAGCGACAAACCAAATCAATTAGAAAATTGTGACAAACGAAAAGATAAAATAATTGTATTTAGAATTTATTAAACATTTCATTTTTTTTTATCATTTTTAAATATTATTATTTATTATTATTATATTATTATTATATATAATTTTGAAGTATTTGAATGTGATGAAAATTTTTTTAATTTACGGACCTTTATTAATTTTTCTAAAATACCTATGCATTATTACGTAAAAAAAATTGGAAATGGCTTAAGTTGAGATTTCATACTATATTGAATACTGGAATTATGTATATATATATATATATGTACATCTATATTTGTATGACAAAATTTAACAAAATTATGGATATATTATGAAATTTATTCTTAATCTACAATAAAAAATCATAAAATTTTTATCTTTATCTTTTTAATATACTTTTTATCTTTGATTTTTGATTTTGATTATTTTTATTTTAAAAATTACGTTAAGTTATTTATGAAGTAATTGGTTGTTATCTGTAATACAGATATGTACATTTCATTGAAAATAGAATGGCAAAAATTGAAAATGGCTTAAGTTCAGATTTTCTAATATATTGAATATTGGGAAATTGTTTTTGTTACGGTAAAATTTATCAGTTAAGTATAGATATATACACTCAAGAGCCAAAACATTATGACCACCCCTACATTTTGCAATGAACTAGCTTGGATGACGTGGCAGGCACGTGATCAGGTGGAAGTGGTATTTAGCTGCTGCTGGAGAGTCTGAAGAATCATTCTTTCGCTTACTTCTGTGTGTGATGGGAAAGGCTGCGGATCTAAGCGACTTTGATAAAGGACAGATTGTAATGGCTCGAAGGCTCGGAACAAGTATTTCCGAAAATGTACGACTCGGGGTTGTTCGCGATCTACAGTTGTTAGTACTTATGCAAAGTGGATGAATGACGATGAAACCAGTAGTAGACGACATGGTGTTGGACGTCCACACGCTATTAAAGAAAAAGGTCGTCGGAGACTGTCTTGCATGGTGAAGCAAAACCGGAACCAGACAGTGGCTCAGCTGACAGCCCAATACAATGCAGGGCCAAGTAGAATAGTATTGGAGCACACTGTTGGATATGGGGCTACGCAGCAAACGTCCCATACTCGTGTGCCTTTGCTGACCAAGCGTCATCGCCAACTGCGCCTGCGCTGGGCCCGGGAACATCGTGACTGGTCCATGGATCAGTGGGAGAGAGTTGCCTGGTCAGATGAATCACGGTTTGTCATTCATCATGCCGAGGGCCGTGTCAGGATACGTCATCTTCCAGGTGAACAGTTGCTCCCTCAATGTACAGTAGGTCATATACACGCCGGTGGTGGCGGTATTATGCTTTGGAGGACGTTCTCTTGGGCGTCTCTGGGACCCGTGGTTGTGTTAGAGCAGACCATGAATGCTACAGGGTATCTGAACATCATTGCGGACCAGTTGCACCCTTACAAGGCCTCTGTTTTTCCAGCTGGAAATGGAATGTTCCAACAGGACAACGCCCCTTGTCACAAGGCTAAAATTGTGTTGGAGTGGTTCCTGGAACATGATGCTGAATTCCAGTTAATGTCCTGGCCGCCTAACTGACCGGATCCCAATCCGATAGAACACATTTGGGATGTCCTGGAATGGCAGCTCAGAGTTCAAACACCACCAATATCTCGGATTTACGTGACCGTTGC